AAACTTATTTCTAACTGTGAAATTCTGCCAAAGACTTTTGAGCTGTGGAGAATGAAAAGGTATTCCCTGCACTAAGACGTTCACCCCAAAAGCTACTTACAGTAGTTTGCTCATACTTCACAAAGAATTACCCATTATCTCCAGAGCTTCTGAGCATAGATTACCTCAGGTAACACCAAGCTTCCTCCAGCTTTCATGTCTCTGGTGGAAACAATGCACTGAATTGTTCTGACAATAATCTCTGGTGGAATGGAGGCTAGTACATGTAGACCAAAAGCAATCCATTAGCCCCTCTGTCAACCCTAGAGCTTTTCTAGTCATAGCACATCCAAAAACCTTAATATTTGTGTGATTGAAGTCAACAACTTAATGCAACATAGTTATAGTGTAGATACCTTTACTTTTTTTTCTTAAATTTTGACACCAAAATGTGTTTGTCTGCTACACTACTCTAATTTTCTCTTAATTTTATGAAGAATTATGCCATTAAATAAACCGTTATGTTTCAAACACAGCTCAATTCACAATCCCTCTGTGACTCAAATGAAAGTTTTCTTCTTTACTCTACTGAAGGAGACCATTCTCTAATAACCTTCTCTCCAATACCATACTCTTGTTGTTCCATTTGTCAGCAAATGTGTTTTGCGAAAAAGAGTAGTGACTTTTAAAAGAGCACAGAAGTGTTGAGTTAAGAACATTATTGGCAGAGCGTAAAGGCAGCATGGCATACATTGTATAATGAAATGATTTTCATAAACCTGCAATGATGCACAAGAAGAAGCCTGAACTTTAAGTAGACCAAGACATTGTGTGAAAAGAATGATTACATCATAAACTTGGCGTGCTTGTACATGTTGATTTCACAAGAAATGTATGCGTTTCTTCACTTGGGATTTCATTCTGCACAATTTTAGAGTGTTGTCGGAGAGCATCTGAGTAATTTGCATGATTATGCGGCGCAGTTGTGGCCTAATGGTTAGAGAGTCTGCATTGTAACCCAAAGGTCATGGGTTCGAGTCATGGTACCGGCAGGGATTGTAGGTGGGGGAGTGTGTGTTCACTACTCACTGCTGTGTGTGTGTGTGTG